ATTAATAAATGTAATTTAATAGAACTATTTAATAGAAATTATTATTTGTTTTCAGTTTTTATTGTTTTATAAAAATTCTAATATAAAGTATTTTCTTTTCTCTTTGTTTCAGGTGAGTCAAATAATATGTTTCCTGTCGAGTTTATTTCGTGAGTAAATATTCATTAAAACACACATAATATTTATAATAAGTAAAACATAATTATCTAAAGAATAATTTAAAAATTCTGATTCGTTTATTTAACGAAAAATATCAGATCTGCAGTATTTCTATTATGGAATTGAAAAAAGAGAAAAATCCCTTTTTTTAAACTGAATTTCCTTTTATGATCTTGAAATTCTGAACGTTCAAATGAACGAAATTTATTTATTTCTTTTAATGGGTCGAAGTTGAATTGAAATTCAACTAAAAGTCGGTTGCTTTTTTTCTTAGTTTTTTTCTTTTTGCTTTTATTTCTTTCCCGAGAATCCATTTTTAATTAACTACTTGTTTCCACTTTGATTCATTTTTGATAAATATTTTTTCAAAATTGATTAGTGAGAATCCATTTCCATTCGATTCTGTAATGAACTCTTTTTTTTGCAAATAGTTCATTTAGTGAAAATTGTTGATTTCTAATATCTCTTTCGCTCCTAATGGACGGCGGCTCTCGCTCCAGATTTTGATTTTCCTAATGCTCTGGATACGACTGCGTTGATTAATTTACTTAATTTATTACTCCATTTGTTCTAATTTTCAATCTTTTAGTTTCAAATACTTTATTAGAAGAAGAAGAAGAAGAAGAATTCACTAAAGATAATTTATATCTATAGTGAATTCTTCGTCTAAATCTAAAATTAGATAAAATTATTACTGGATTTGACATAATCCAATTATGAATTATTTCGAAGTATGAATTTCATTTATGCGTAAAATTCTCTCTTTTAATTTATAACGATATGTATGCATATATAGAGAATTGTTTGGTCAAAATCAGTTTGCTAGACAATCAAACTGGAAGTTCACGAATTCTCAAAATGTTCACTTGTAGCCAATAGAATTTATAAATTATTCATAATATGCTTTAACATTCCCTTTGTAATTTGCACATTGGCTGTTATCCCATATCTAATTCTGCCTATCAAGTTTAGTAATCAGTGCAAATGTGTTTGTACACATATAGTACAAACATGAGCACATAGCAACTATCGACTTAAATTATAATTAACAGTTTTTTTCCACTTTATTTCCTTTTTTCCCACAATTATTGAAAGCTTGTTTTCAAAGTAGTTTTCTTTCTAAACTATCATTTGGAATGATTATTTTAGTGATAATTTTTTATTTTTGAACTAAAGATAAAAAAGAAACAATAAGCTTTTGCAGGGTTTCTACAAGTCGTGGAAAACCTGGAAATCACGGAATTGTCATATGATTTCATTTTGATTCATGAAACCATAGAAATCTCATGGAATTTCTAATCGGATCATGGAATTTTTTTAGTTTCTGTTGTAAACCCGTGTGATTGAAATTCGCGCTCCTTTATTACTCAGGGTGGTCACAAGTTTCAATTTATCAATTTTCCTGACAATTTACTGACATTAAAATTACTTTCCCTGACAAAATTCTTTTTACAGTAGGAAAATATTAATGTTTGCGAAAAATGAGTAAAATTTATAAATTTAAATAATTTATAAAAATTACAATTAAAACTCATCTTGAATTTAATTATTTTCTACAATTTTCCACTAAACTTTTTCTTTGAATCAATTAATTTAAATAATTTTTCAAAAGTTCTTCTAGAATTCAATTATTTAAATACATAAACTTAATTTTTTATAATAATTGTGACTCTCCATAGTTTTTTCTGAAATATAATATTTTCAAAAAATTATAATAAAGAGATTCTTACAATTCATTTTTTAAATAATAATTTTTGAACGATAATAGTTTTTCAATTTTGAAAAATTTCCAAACAATTAAAATTTGGTAAAATCTTTTAAAAATAATTGAATTTTTGAAAAGTATAAATAAAAATGATCAAATTTTTGAAGAATTTTAATTATAAACAGGATCATGATTTCTCAAAAATTTTAATAAGTCCAAAAAGTAAATTTTGAATCTTAAAAAATTAGTACTAAACAATTCTAATAATTAGTTTTTAAAAATATTTTATTAATGTAATTTTTCGAAAATAATTGTATTTCTTAAAAGAATTCTTGTATAATTTAAAAAACTAATAAATTTTTTGGTGAATTTTAATTAAAAATTTTGAACATTATTGTTTTTTCCAAAATGTTAAAAATAATTCTAAAATGTTATTATTTTTGGAAATATGTAATTGAAAATATTAAAAAAATTGAATTTTAAAAAATTAGAAGCTTATTTTCATTTTTCAATTTACCTTTAAAGATTTTTCATTAAAATTTTTGATAATTCAATTATTTTCAAAATTTGCAATTAAAATTCTTCAAAAGTTGATTTTTAAAAATTGTAACAAAATACTTGAGATAAATTAATTATTTTCAATTAAATTTTACAAAATTTTAACTATTCAAAAATAATTTTTGAAAGATTTGTTTTTAGTTAACTTTTCGCATTATAAAAATCAAAATAAGTTGCACTTTTTTACTAAAAATTGTGGTATTTTGTTGTTTGGAAGAAAAGTCGAAAAAGTCTCAATTTTCGTAATTTCCTTGACAAAAAATTTTTTCATGACATTTACCTGACTTAACTAACAAAAATGTTGTTTTAATGTCTCATGGAAATTTTATCATTTATCATTTGGAAATCTGGGATTTTTAATAGGGTGGAATTTTTAAAAATTCTTGTCAAAATTTTAATTATCTTTACAAATAATAAAATTCTTCTCTGAAATTCATATATTTTCCAAAATTTTAATCAAATTCTTTGCAAAATTTCAATTATTTTTAAAAATTTTCCACAATTCAATGTTTTTCAATATCTACTATTTTAATAGAATTTTTCAAAAGAATTCAATTATTTAAATAAAATTTTAATGACATTCTACAGAATCATTCAATTATTTTCATAAATAATAAAATTTTTTACAGGAATTCAATTATTTGCAAATTTTTTTTATAAATTTCTTCGCAATAATTCAATTATTTTCATAAATAATAAAATTTTTACAGGGATTCAATTATTTTCATAAATAATAAAATTCTTTTAGGAATTCAATTATTTTTACTAATAATAAAACTCATCACAGAATTTCAATTATTTTTAATACAATTTTAATCAAATTCCTCGAAAAATGTAATTTGTATTCTTAAAATTTTTTATTAAAATTCGTCTAAAGAATTTAATTATTTAAAAATTTGTTGATAAAATTTCGTATGAGAATTTAATTTTAGAAAGTATTCAATTATTCTATAAATTATTTATTTTTGTATTTAAATAATTGAATCCTCGTAGAATTTACTGATAGAAATTTTTTTTAAAAATGAATTTCAGTTAAAAGTTTAGATTATAATTAAATATTAAAGGCATTATAACGTGGATTTTTAGAAATAATTGAATTTTGAAAAGATTTTAAATTAAAATCATTGAAATTCTGAATTTTTCATATTTTTAAATAACAATTCTGTAGAATTAATTCTTTTGAAAAAGTTTAATTGAATTTTTTTAAAATTATTTCAAATTTATTTTCTATATATTTGATTAAAGAATTTACGAATAATTGAAATTTTGTAAAATTGAATTGTAAACAAATGAATTTGAAAATTCTCAAAGAATTTTTTCAAAAGTTATTAAAAATCTTAATTTCCCTGACAAACAATTTTTTTCATGACATTTACCTAACTTAACTGACAAAAATTTTCTTTTAATGTGTCATGGAAATTTTATCATTTATCACCTGGAAATCATGGAAAAATCATGGAATTGTATAAGGAGAAATTTGTAGAAACCCTATTTTGCTTTTTCTCTGATACTTTCCGTATAAGAAATTTTACTACGCGAATTTTCCTGTTATAAAACCACTTTTGTTTATATACAGCAAAGAAATTGAAATTTAAGTTGATTTAACAATTATAAATACTGAGGAGAGTGAGCGGTTGAAAATATCTATTGATTTCCCTTGAAACACACAATCTTTAATTAAAATCTTCACTCGGGTATATATGTATATATTTCTTTGTACAAAACAGTGAGCCTGCGGAGATAGTTCCACAACTCAAATAACTTTCTGTTTATGTTCACGAGAAAGCTCATGGGAAGTTGCCTTGCAAAGAAATTTAACTGCAAAGCACATCTTTTATTCCGTTTATAATAAGATTTTGCAAAAAAAAAGGAAAAAAGAGAACTAAATCTCTTTATGAATGTTTTAAAATTTTATTTTTTTTTTTTTGCTCGAAGAAAGCAAATATGTTTACAAGTACAAATGTGTTTGTTTTAAACAAAAAAATTACCCGCAGCTATATTAGAAAAACATAATAAAATATGTTTCAATTCACGTGAAACGATTCTACTGAAATTCCGTATATTTGTATAAAATTCCGCATAAAAATAGAAAATTTCTGCAAGATTCCAATATGCTTGCAGAAATTTTGCTGAATTTGTTCACGGAATTTTCGTAAAATCGTTTCAAATAGTCGTTAAAAAATAAAAAATATAAAATTGTTATTTCTTTTTATAAAAAAATTGAAACTGACGGGTAAAATAAAAATTAAAAAACAATTTAATACACAATTTATAAGTATTGTACAAAGATTTTTTAAAAATAATTAAAAATCATTTCATTTGAATTCACTTGAATTATGTAATAAAATTGATCGCTCTTCTGTGACACTCTTTTATGTAAATCCAATAATCTTCTTAAAATAAATGAAGTGGAAAATATTTTAATAACTGTAGAAGCTTTGTAAAAAGTCGCATAAAAAATTTGTAGATATTACTTCTATTGAAAATTAGCATTGAAAGAAATGTTAATTATTCTTTTTTCTGAAAAAAGGCTTTAAGTAATTTGTTTTGTTTTTTTTTTTTGAAAAAAATTACTCACCGTTTTTTCGACTTTATTCGCTACACTCTCGACCATTTCCCCAGCTGTTTTGGCCGCTTCGCCAACTGCTGCTACCTTTCTCGACATGTGTCCGCGGAATGAAGCTTGAATTCTAGTAGCTGCGTCGCAAAGCTCTACAAAAGGTTTAACAATATTAATTAAATTGAATTGATTAATTCGTTAATTAATTAATTTGATATGTTGAAATCACGATAAATGTTATTTAAGGAGAGGAAATATTGGATTGAATTAAATTAAGATTTCTTATTTTAATCTGCTTTCAAACTCAATTTGATATTTATAAGAAAATGTATTGAAATTCGGATAAATTCAACTTTCTTTATCTATGTTAATTCAATTCTATTTTTTCATTTATTTTAATTCAAGTTTTATTTAAATTTAATTCAAATATGTTTTAATTTTTATGTTTTAAATTTGTTTTAGTTTAAATTCACTTCAAATTTATTTCAATTCAATTTTATTTGGGATTTATTTCAATTCAAATTTAATTCCAATTTATTTCAATATTCAATTATTTTTGGAATTTATTTCAAATCAATTCTATTTGGAATTTATTGCAATTCAATTTTATTTAGAATTTATTTTAATTCAAATTCATTTCAAAATTATTGTTATTCAATTCTATTCGAAATTTATTTTTATTCAAATGTAATTTACAATTTACTTCATTTACTAAAATTCAATATAAATTTATTTTAATTTCATTCTAGTTTGTATTTATTTTAATTTCATTCTATTTGGAGTTTATTTGGAATTTATTTTTATTCAATTCTATTTTTCATTTATTTTAATTCAAGTTTTATTCAAATTTAATTCAAATATGTTTTAATTTTTATGTTTTAAATTTGTTTTAGTTTAAATTCACTTCAAATTTATTTCAATTCAATTTTATTTGGCATTTATTTTAATTCAAATTCAATTCCAATTTATTTCAATTCAATTCTTTTTGGAATTTATTTCAAATCAATTCTATTTGGAATTTATTGCAATTCAATTTTATTTGGAATTTATTTTAATTTTAATCTAATTTAAATTATTTTTATTAAATTCTATTTTGAATCTATTATAATTAAAATTCAATCTAAATTTATTTTAATTTGATTCTATTTGGAGTTTATTTGGAATTTATTTTTATTCAATTGTATTTTTCATTTATTTTAATTCAAGTTTTATTCAAATTTAATTCAAATATGTTTTAATTTTTGTTTTAAATTTGTTTTAGTTTAAATTTACTTCAAATTTATTTCAATTCAATTTTATTTGGAATTTATTTCAATATTCAAATTCAATTCCAATTCATTTCAATTCAATTCTTTTTCGAATTTATTTCAAATCAATTCTATTTGGAATTTATCGCAATTCAATTTTATTTGGAATTTTTTTAAATTCAAATTCATTTCAAAATTATTGTTATTCAATTCTATTCGAAATTTATTTTTATTCAATTTTAATTTACAATTTACTTTAATTCAAATTTATTTCAATTCACATTGAATATAAAATTATTTTTTTTTTATTTTTTGAAATTTATTTTAATTTTAATCCAATTTAGATTATTTTTATTCAATTTTATTTGGAATCTATTGTAATTAAAATTCAATCTAAATTTATTTTAATTTGATTCTAGTTTGTATTTATTTTAATTTAATTCTATTTGGAGTTTATTTGGAATTTATTTTTATTTAATTCTATTTTTCATTTATTTTAATTCAAGTTTTATTCAAATTTAATTCAAATATGTTTTAATTTTTGTTTTAAATTTGTTTTAGTTTAAATTTACTTCAAATTTATTTCAATTCAATTTTATTTGGGATTTATTTCAATATTCAAATTCAATTCAAATTCATTTCAATTAAATTCTTTTTGGAATTTATTTCAATTCAATTCTATTTGGAATTTATTGCAATTCAATTAAATTTGGAATTTATTTTAATTTAAATTCATTTGAAAATTATTTTTATTCAATTCTATTCGAAATTTTTTTTTATTTAATTGTAATTTACAATTTACTTTAATTCAAATTTATTTCAATTCACATTTAATATAAAATTATTTTTATTTAATTTTTTGAAATTTATTTTAATTTTAATCCAATTTAGATTATTTTTATTCAATTTTATTTGGAATCTATTATAATTAAAATTCAATCTAAAATTTTAATTTCATTCTAGTTTGTATTTATTTGGAATTTATTTTTATTCAATTCTATTTTTCATATATTGTAGTTGAAATTGATTTGAAATTTTGAATTAAAATTCAATTAAAATTAATTTTGATTTAATTTTATTTTGAATTTCTTTTAATTCTAATTCAATTGAAAATTTGTTTAATTTAATTTTAATTCCATTTTCTATCAAATTAATTTTAATTCAAGGATGATTTAAATTTAATATTTATTAAATTCGCTAAGAAGAGAATTTTTATATTTATTGCAATTGAAATTTATGTTTATAGCAATTATTTTGAAATTATTGTTCATTCGATTTTGATATTTAAAAACAGTTTTTTTTTCTTCTTCTGTGTGAAATGGAAAATAAAATGAGTTTTTCTCGCAGTAGAAAATTCCAAGTTAGGAACGATTGGCTTTTTTTGGTATTTTTTCAAAGTCAGAAATAAATTGAATTTCACAGCAACCAGTTTGTGAGTAAAGCAAATTTTTCTTTGTTAAAAAATAAAAAACAAACGTTTGTTCTTGAAGAATATGACAAAGGAGAAAAAAACAAAAATTTGCTTTTCGTCACAAGCCACTACTGGTAATCGATATTCAATTACTTCCCGTTCACATTAAATGATTGAGTTCTTCCATTTTGTTGTGACTTATCCAGTCGCTGTTTATTCTTAAATTGATAGATATCTATTAATATCCTGTAAATTATGTTTGTCATAGAAACATAATATTATCTTTTCACTATATACCCTTTTTTTATATTATTGAGCGAAATTTAATTACGAAATGAATTTATATTTATTACTTCATTTCCTGATAAAAATTAATTTTTTTTTTGCTACTTTTGTTTCTAAATCTATTTTTTTTATTAATTTTTGTCTCTGAATTTGTTTCTAATAATTTTACAATTTCCATGATTTTTTGTTTCTAAATTCAGATTTATTCATTTAGTTTCTAATTTCATATTTACTAATTTTTGTTCTCAAATTCAGATTTATTAATTTTATTTTCAAAATTTAGGTATTTATATAATTTGAATTTGGATTATATTATAATTATTGCCAAAAGTTTTACGAATTAATTTTTTAGCTATTACTGTAAAGTAAAATTTAGATTAAATTTTTTAAAGGTTTATTTGCTTATTTCAAAAAACTAAAAATTGTATCGAAGGTTGTTAACATTTTTAATCTTGAAAAATATGTCAACCATATATTATGAAGTGATTAATCTATATTAAAGAGGTAATGAAAAATTTTAAGATCGCAATCCGTCAATCTTCCTTGACTTTTATGATCCTCTTGTGATATATTTTATCGAGAACACGTGATTTCGTGAAAAACTCCCTTCATCGTCAATTGGAAAACAGTTTTTTTTTCATCCGAAATTTTTAAAACTTAAATTATCATCCAAAAAAACTTTTAACGTATAAAAAAATTAAAATATTTTCAATAAATTACTGCTTGCAAAATAAATAAAAAGAAACTCAATTATCAAACTTGAATTAAAAATTAGAAAACTAAAATAATAAATAAATATTTTGAGTTGATATTAATACTAATATAATAATTTAAAAAAATTAATTATTATAATAACATATTTTTTAATTTATATTTTAAAAATAATATTTAGAAAATTTACTCTCTAAATTTGAATTAGTGACGGACTTTTTGCTTTCAAATTTGTAAATTTACTAATAAATAGTATTTTTTTAATTAGTAAAATTTAGTAATTCAATATAGCAAAAAATCAGTCACTAATTCTAATTAGTAAACATTTTTACTAATTCCAATTTTGAGAATATAATTTATTTTTCTGACAATTTTTTTTTATTATTGTAATAAAATTTTAATTTAAAGAAGAAATAAATAAATTGCCCTCGTTTCAAGATTCTAAAGTTCTGAATGTTTAAAACTTTAAATGAAGAAAATTTATTTATTTCATCGTTAAATTGAATATTTATTACAAAAATTTTGAGTCACTACGAAAAACAGTTAATTGAAAAGTTTCTGAATGTAAATTTTAATTTTTCAACTTTTATTACAATCAATAAATTAAGTAAATATTTGGAAAAAATATGTCCTTCATTTTGTACGTAAAAAATTTATGGAAAGCTTCCTTTGAAGATTGAGAACTTTAGGAACATCTTGAATTTATATTTAAAGAATAAAATTAATAAATATATTGATAGAGACACTAAAATATTCTGAAATTTAATTTCAAATTTTAATAAAAATAAATAATTAATGTTAGAAATAAAAATAAAATATTCAAGTATGTAAATATACAGAAATAAAATAAATAATTAAAAAAAAATTTTTCAAATTGAGAAAAATAGGAATTTATAGAATCCAGAGGCAATATTGAACATAATTAGCAGGTATTCTATCGAAGAATTGTTTGAAAAGTTACAATTCGAGGAGCGATGATTGTGAGAGAAGATAGATATAAAGAATTGGATAAAAATGTAGGTCGAGAGGGAATTTTTGAAAAATCGTTTTCTTCAACTGTCATTTAATAGCGTGCAATTTCGCTTCTTAAAATGTAGGTCCCTAGGGGGGGGGGGGGGTAAGAGACGGGGGAGGGAGAAAAAGGGAAAAAAGCTCACCCTTATCGTCCTCGCGAAACTCCTGCAGTAATTGTTCCTTGGTTGGTTCTGAATCTGATTTTGATTCTGTCTGTTTCGTTGAAGTTTCCGTATCTTTCATACTCTTCCTGGCGTGATGGCCACGGAAAGCTGCTTGTATTCTCGTTGCAGCTTCCTCCTCCTCTTTACTTGTTGTCTTTTCCTCTTCCTCGTCGTCGTCGTCGTCGTCTACTGCCTTGTCTTCCTCCTTTTGTTCCGTTTGTCTACTTTCTTTAGACGACACCACGCTCCTGTCGCCCTCAGCTGTCTTCGGTATATCTAACATAAACAGAAATAAAAAAACGTAACTCGTAAAAAATTCATCAATCTCGAAATTTTTTTTTCTTTTGCTTGACCGGATGAGGATATTGTTCACGAAAGTTTTTTTTTCTATTTTTTTTTTCTTTTAGGGGAAAAAAATGACTATTTTTCGTATACTCTTTTCATTAAAATTTATTTATTTGTTGATTTATTTATTCATTTATTTATTCATTTATTTTATTAATTAATTAATTTATTTATTTATTTATTCATTCGTTCATTCATTTATTTATTTATTTATTTATTCATTTATTTATTTATTTATTTATTCACTTATTTATTCACTTATTTATTTATTTATTCACTTATTTATTCACTTATTTATTCATTTATTTATTCGTTTATTTATTCATTCATTTATTTATTCAATTATTCGGTCTTTAACACTCGAATTTTTTAAAGTAATGCGAATTTTGTCGATCCGCCATATTGGATCCGCCATTTTGAATTTTGTAAAATTGACATCGTTTTCTAAAAGTCCTGAAACCCCCCGAATAGTACGAAAAAATTAAACGTAATATTTGTTTACCTAAAGATATAGAATAGAAGAATAGAATTTTTTCTATACTCAAATATTTATTTTTCATTAAAATATTTATTTATTTATTCACAAAAATATTGAATATCTAAAAATGCTAAATTCGAATATCTAGATGAATATATTTATATTTTATTTTATAATAATTATAAATAAATGGAATCACTAAATAAATAAAATTTAGTGAAATTTACATTATTGTAATAAACAATTTAGATAAAAAACTATTTTTTAAATGAAATTTCTAAATATTTTTGATGGGAAAATTTATAATAGACTTTTCTGATCAACTATTTACCGACAAAAAAAAAAATTGTTAAGAGAAAAATTGTATTGTTTTCTGGGCGTGAAAAATATTTTTTTCTATTCAATCGTTGATTACAAACGTTTGAAGTTATAGAATTGTTTATTTTCATTGTAAAAAACAGGATTTAAAAAATTTGTAATTAAAAATTTTTCCAGAATTTTTCACGAAACAATTCAAAAATTTTTTTTCTTAAATTATAATTTAAATATTGTATTGAAAATAAATTTATTCCTCCCTAGAATTTTATTATTTATGAAAATAATTGAATTCTTTTGATAAATTTTATTCCAAATAATTGATTTTGTCTAAAGAATTTGATTCTTTGAGAAATGATAATTGAAATCGTGCAAATAATTTTAGTATTATTATGAAAATAATTGAATTCTTTTGAGATTGAATTGAATTCATATAAAAAATTTCATTATTTATAAAAATAATTGAATTCTTTCAAGAAATTTAATTAAAAATTTGTACTGAACATAATCAAATTGTTATAAACAAATTTTATCACAATTTTTGAAAATAATTGAATTCTTTTCAAGAATTTTACTATTCATGACATCAATTGAATTTAAAAAATTTATATTTCAATTTTTTAAAATAATGGAATTCTTTTGAGGACTTTCATGTAAATTATATTAAAAATAATTGAATTTCTGCGAAGAATTTTATTATTTATGAAAATAATTGAATACTCATAAAAATTAGTACATAAATATTTTGAATGAAAATTGAATTCTTTCAACGGAACTTTTAACAAAATTTAAAAATAATAGAATTCTTTTGATGAATTTCAATTTTCAATTAAACAATTGAATAATAATTGAATTCTTTCGAGAAATATTATTAAAATTTAATTGAAAATAATTGAATTCTCATAAAAATGTACATAAATATTTTGAATAAATTGAATTCTTTCTACGGAGTTTTTAACAAAATTTGAAAATAATAGAATTCGTTTGAGAAATTTCAATTAAATAATTGAATAATAATTGAATTCTTTCGAGAAATTTGATTAAAATTTAATTGAAAATAATTGAATTCTCATAAAAATGTATATAAATTATTAAAAAAATATCGGAATTCTTTTGAGGAAATTCTTTAAAATTACAGGTATTAACAATAATTGAATTTCTGCGAAGAATTCTATTATTTATGAAAATAATTGAATTCTCATTAAAATTTGTACATAAATATTTTGAATAAATTGAATTCTTTCTACGGAGTTTTTAACAAAATTTGAAAATAATAGAATTCTTTTGTGAAATTTCAATTAAATAATTGAATAATAATTGAATTCTTTCGAGAAATTTTATTAAAATTTAATTGAAAATAATTGAATTCTCATAAAAATTTATATAAATTTTTTTAAAAATATTGGAATTCTTTTGAGGAATTTCAATTAAATAATTGAATAATAATTGAATTCTTTCGAGCAATTTGATTAAAATTTAATTGAAAATAATTGAATTCTCATAAAAATGTATATAAATTTTTAAACAAAATATCGGAATTCTTTTGAGGAAATTCTCTAAAATTATAGGTATTAACAATAATTGAATTTCTGCGAAGAATTATATTATTTATGAAAATAATTGAATTCCTGCAAATAATTTTAGTATTTATGAAAAATTAAAAATAATTGAATTTTTTTTTGAGAATTTTCATTGAAATTCAATTCTTTTGAAAAATTTCATTCAAATGATTTAAAAAATATTCCAATTCTTTCGAGAAATTTGATTAAAATTTAACTGAAAATAATTGAATTTCTGCGAAAAATTATATTATTTATAAAAATAATTGAATTCCTCCGAAGAATTTTATTATTTATGAAAATATAATTGAATTCTTTCGACAAATTTTATTATAGTAGCATTTTAGGAAATACTAATAGTAAAAATAGTAGAAAATACTAATAGTTAAAAGGAAACTTTTTTAAATTTAAAAATTTTTTTTATTTTCAAATATCAATTTCAATTTTGAAAATTGAAATTGATATTTCAAAATAAAAAAATTTTTTAAATTTGTATAATAATGAAACAAATATTGTGTTTCGATTATATTATACATTTATAATGTTGCTTATTATAAATAAATGAAATAGTTTTGCCTTTTGCCACAAATAATTATGAATTATATATATATATATATATATATATATATATATAAATAATTATTTATTTTTCTGTTTAAATTTCTTCTTCCTTCTGAGTATAAATAATAATTTTTGCAGCGCACATGTGCGACTTTATATATAAAAGAGCATTAAAAAGCAATTATTTGGTTAAAAGAAGGAACATTCTCATTATGCAATATTTTTTTTTTAAAGATAAGAAGAAAGAATATAAAAGAACTGCCATTTGCAGAATAGGTTTATAATTAGGTCTCGCCATATGACAAGCGACAATGTAAACATAGTTCAAAACCCGTGCAGAAATTTTGACCGGGGCCAGGTCGGGGCCAGATCGGGACAAACCGGGCCCCGATCTGGCAACCCGACCTGGCCCCGGCCTGGTTGAAACACTAAAACCGACCGGGGCCATGGCACTTTGCCCGATCTGGCCGCCCTGTCGGGACCCGGTCGGGGCCATGGGATTTCCCCCGATCTTTTCGCTACCCAGGTAGAATTCCAATACTGACTGCATTTTATTATATTAAAGCTTGTTATTTGATTATTAAAGAATGGGGAGTATTTACTTCAATATTAATGATTATTATTAATATTTTTGTAGTAAATAAACTTTTATGAGTGTCATTAAAAATGTAAATAGTTATTAGAATTGCTTTTATTGGACTAAGTTTTTAAAAAAAATATTTTTCTTATTTTCTTTCATTAATTTAGACAGACTATCTTATTTAAATTAATAATTATTTATAATTATTATTATTGTTAATAATTATTTAAACCTATACTTTATGTAACATTATTAAGAATTATACACAAAACACTTAAAACTAAGACGGAAAAATATCGCACGCACGGGGGACCGAACCCTAGACCTCGAGGACGCAAGTCGAATACACATACCGCATAGCCACGCAAGCTTGGAAGCGACCTCGCTTAAACTTCCTTTTGAATCATGGGACCGTTATATACAGTGTTATCATAATAAATTGACTGTATCATATTTATTTATAGAAAAATTATTAAAAATGTATGTTATATATATATATATATATATACTAGCTGTCGTACCCGTCTTCGACGGGTTGTAGTTTCTGATTATGCACTTAACAGTGTATCTACCAACCTAGAAAACCGGAAAATAGCCGGGAATTTGATTTGACAGGGAAAAAATAATAATTAGTTACTATTGTCTATTTCATTAGGAAAATAATACCATTTGAAACAGTGACCGACTTTTTATTATCAAATTAGTTATTTTTAACTAATTCAAATGCAGAAAACAATATTTCTCAATTTGTAGTACTTCAATCAATATAATGTATTAAAATAAATCTAAAATTTCCTCCAGTTTTTTGAGTTATAGTACAGTCTAATTCGAACTAATTGTATAGCAAGTAGATCCAGTTTTTCTCGGTTACATTAAATTCCCTGATATTTTACGTCTTTTCTGGTTGGTAAACACCCTGTTAAATGTATTATTAAAAAAAACCCGTCCAGTAAACCAGGAAAAATTTGGACAAAGCCGGAAATTGTTTTAAACCAAAATAAACACCGTGTTTAACTTTTGTCTTTACATTGATCAAGATATCTCTAAAAGTTAAATCAGAGAGCCCACAAATACTACTGAATTAAGCTTCATAGCAATTGGTATCAATTATAATTTTTTCAATTTTTTGATATTCAAAACATTTTTATACTTACATCTTCGTTATAAGAAAGTATTTTTGAAAAATTATGCTAAAATGTGACTAAATAACATGTAATACTCAACTATAGAAAGTTTAGAAGCAATCCATGAAAAAATATAAAATTTAGAAATGATTTGTGTTAAATAAATTTATTTATTAGAGTCAAGTATTTATTTAATTAATCCAATTAAGATTTATTTGATTCAACTAAATAAAATTATTTAAACGAAATAAATTCTTATTAGATCGAAATAAAAACTTTTTAAATAAGATATTATTTTTCAAATAATTATAATT